ATTACCTTAGGCCTAATGTTGACTGTAGCAGGCTACCTAGACTCCTCTGTTCAAAGGGGGATGGAAGACATAGCAATATTGTATTTAGTGCTTAAAAGTTTTAGAATATCTTAACTTGACTTTTGCAAGGCCAATTATCTTCACACCAATAGTTTGTGAAGTAGAGTAACGGCTTTTTTACTTCATGTTGGCCGCATTGTCTGTACTGACTATTTTTCTCATTTTCAGCCCTGACCTTACTTGAAGGGAAAACTTAAGGCTTACAAAAACTTTGTATTTTCTGTCCTGGAGGGGATACTAAGAAGCTGGTTCAGTTGTAAACTAGGTTAAGTCAACCTTGTATAGGTAAAGCGTCTAATTTTTAACTAAATGATGCCTGCAGGTATATCTATTAGCAGGTTAAATTTTGCCTGCACTTGGTTGTGTACATTATTTTAAGTGTATTTGACAAGTTTACCAAAATATAAAAAGTCATTCAAACTGCATTTGCCTTGTTTTACTTTTTACTTATACTTTTCATTACATTACTTGAGTACATCCATTTTTACAGTAATTTCCATACTTAAGTACAAGACATTTCAGATACTTTAAGACTTTAACTCAAGTAACATTTCAGTCAGGGACTTGGACTTTTACCAAAGTCATATTTTGGAGAGGTACCTATACTTTTACTTGACTCTGAGATTTCAGTACTTTATACAACACTGCTCCTGACTACCAGTAGTTCATTTTTGTCCTCTGTAGAGGACATTTCTAAACTTGAATATCTCCCAACCCCTGCATTCTACTGAATTAATTCCTTTTGGTATCTGGAGAGGACATTTAGGGCTTTTTAATGATACCACATATGAAGGGGTGGGACTTTTGCTTGTATCTTTTTCTAATGCATAAAAATTGTGTTCATCAGTAACACATTTTATGTGAAGAGACAAAGTAAGTGCATAAAACCTTTTATTACCTTACAAAGACTGTGGGATTTTAAAAAAATGGTGATTGGACAATATTTTTTTTCCTGGTACATCATAAATACATACATACTTATCTGTTGTGACAATATTTACATGTTCATTACATTTTTACACAATCTAATAGCCTGGAAATAGGACAGTTTTGCAGAACTTTTTCTGGTGCTGCCTTTCTGCAAACCATCCTCATCTCTTTATCTTTTGGAAACCTTTAAAACAAAAGCGTGATATCTGGGAGTGTCTACACAAAAACATTGTCCGAATGAGGTCCATGTTACTTTATTCATATACTGTTATTTAGTGAGTTCATTGAAGTTATTTTGTACCGGCTGATCTGCACATAACTGTTATAACAAAGCAAAGATAAAAAGGCAACGGTTGAAACTAAGGAGCCTTGTTGCCTTCTTAAGCTGAGCATTCAGAAAAACGTTACACTCACTATTTTTGATCTTCATATTTCAAAGAACATAAAACTCCAAATTTGATTAAGATTTGTTGATAATGATAATTAACCAAAGCTACTGAAATTGTGAGTAGGCCTGTTTGAAACATTCCTGTCATCAAATGTCCGGCTGAAGACCGATAGCTAACATTTGCTGTCAATTCACTGGTGGGCATAAATACAGTAATATTACATTCACAACATACTAACAATAATATGTCATTCTTACTTGTGAAAAGTTATCCCCCGGGCCCTGACACCAACAGTTCTTAGATTTAAACACGAATAAGCCGAGCAGAACTGAGGCATCTTCTGCTGTTTTGGTTCAACAAAGTACGAGAGTGTACCGCTCCAAGATGGCCGCCGTATTTCCTGCTCCGGAGCAGCCAATGCGGTCTATCTTTATATTATGTCTATGGATACATCGATGCATCCTTGATAAAATGGGCAGAGCAAGAAGACATCCAGGAACTTTGAACGATCTTGCCTGGATAGAATTGGAACAGTACTTGGGCTGCTGTCGATGACGTTTCACAAGGATGTGAGAATACAAGAACAGACAAGAACGTATGTTAATAAAACTTTCATACAAATAGTAAACTACACATAAAATAAGAAAATATGTGTGCATGAATCGCTAGCTGTGGACTGATCGGTCCACAGCTAGTTTGCATGTTCTCCCTGTGCGTTCATGGTACTCTGCTTTCCTCCCACAGTCCAAAAACATGACTATCAGGTTAATTGGCCTCTCCAAATTGCCCCTAGGTGTGAGTGTGTGTATGCATGGTTGTGTCTCTGTGTTGCCCTGCGACAGACTGGTGACCTGTCCAGGTGACCCCACCTCTCACCCAGAACGTTAGCTGGAGAGGCACCAACAACCCCCCTGACCCCACTGAGGGACAAGGGTGTAAAGAAAATGGATGGATGGACAATTATTTGTTTTATATTGTGTTTAAATAAAGTCATCGGTATATGACAATTCATCTGTCATAGTTAAATTTTTAACTCATTCTAGTTATAATCTTCATAAATAAAATGTTTTATTTTATGTAGTTTCATTTTTTTCTGTCTACAGGTAAAATAGTCTTAGTGTTGCTATACTGTCACAAAACTTGTTTGATTAAATATCTTCCTGTGATGCTGTAATTATTGTTAAATGCTTTGGTCAGCAGAGCCTGTTTCAAATTTACTATATAAATAACTTTGGTTTGACTTGAAAACATCCTTCCCAGTTGTTTTTTTTTTTTTCATTTTTGCTTATCTTTTAAAACATGATTTTGCTCACAAAGTTTAAAAACATAGTTTAGCTATTAATTTTTTTTAATTCAACATTTTTTGAGTTGGTCTATGGTGTATTTTCTTAACAAGCAGATGTCTTTAATTTGTATATTTGCATTCAAAATTCAGGTTTGACTGTTTTTATATTCTGATTAACTTTACAGTAAAGTGTGACTGATATTCTAAAACTATTATTAAAATATATATCAAATCCATATCAAAATGTCGTATTATTTATTTGTTGTAAAAAACAGAAGGAAAAGGGGAGGAACCTGTTACACTGATATCTGCCTAGCAACAAATGACAGTTATTTTAATTTTAAAGAACTGGATTGGCTGACAGCTATCAGTCGTCTCAATCCTGTTAAACCAAACATTGGCTTCTTCAAGAGTAGGAGAGTTTTAATGTTGCACAACAATCCATCAAACTTTCACAACTGAAAGCTGTTATAAAATTACAATGAACCAAAACTCATTTAAACTTTTCTTTTTTTTTTCATTTACATTTTTTCTCAATGCAGTATTTCTACACTGGATCTGCTGGAGTCCCAAACTTCCCAGCATAGGTGTCTGTTGAGATTGTTGACAATATTAAGTCATTGTGACAGTAGAACCAACAGAAATATATCCAAACAGGAATAGATCAATTTTACATTGGAGGATCCACAGAACTGGGAGAGTCGGACTCAGGTCTGTTTGGTGAACCAGCAGCTCTTTAGAGCAAACATTGAAACAGCAAAGCAGCTGTTCAACTGAAGGTTAGTTCATGTTTGTCTATTATTGGATGTGTCTAATCAGAAGTGGGCCACAAAGCAACCCTGGACAGAATTTTGTCCTAATTCCAATTAAGTAATTATTTAATTAAAAGGCTGGAAATAAGCTGGAGACAAGATTATTTATCTGGCTTTCTCCAGTAACATTTATTTGGTGATATGTGGCCCTCTAACACATATAGCATGAATAACTTATTACATAAATTTATGGCGACATCACTATAATTATTATTAATAGTTAACCATAAAATATAGCTTTTATCATCAACTACTACATTTATCAGTTATTTTATCTGAAATAAACATAGATTTACCTTTTGTGTCCTTTTATACTATTGCTTATGTGAATTTGGGACTCATTCTTGATAAACTACAAATTTGAAGTTTTGACATTCTGTGTGAAGTTGTCAAATTAACTGCTGAGCGCCCCCTGCTGGATACCTGAAGCAGCACCACATAATAGGGGCATTGTAGATAGAAAAAGAGAAGTAAAATTACGA